CCCAAAACATTCAAGTACAGCTTTGCCTGTGCCACCTTATGCCTCACTCTGATGCAGGCCAGGTCAAGGATGTATCTCATACAGACAACATGGGTGTCCATTGTGCAACCTAGAACGGCCCTCATAGCTGCATTCTGTACTCTCTACAACCTGTCTATCTGAGTCTTGGACAGGGAGAGGACGCCCAGCCCATAGTCTATGACTGACAGAACCACCAGCTGCATTAGGAGAAAAAGAACTCTCTGTTGAATTCCCGCTGAAGCCAAGGTCTTCACTACATTGATGCCCTTCTGAGACCTGACAGCAACATTGTCAATATGTCCTCGGAACGAAAGTGTCCTGTCCAGAGTGATTCCCAGGTACTACAGCTTATGCTGTCTGTCTATGAGAAAGTGGTCAAACACAATTGGAGGAGTAGGATCTTTCACAATACGGTTGTTGAGTGAGCACCAGATGACTTGTGCTTTGTCAGGATTGATGACCACATTGTATTCCTCACACCAATCTGCGACCTTGCTCAGCCTGTCCTGTAGCATCCGCCCAACTACTAGCCTATCACAACCTTGTCTGTAGACCATCACATCATCTGCAAATGTGAGGATTCTTCCTGCTCCACTTACAACGATCCTGGCAATTTTGGATGTATATATGTTGAACAGAACCGGAGAGAGAGAGAGGGAGAGAGAGAAGAGCATGCTCCCCATGAGGCATAACTCACCTGCAGACGGCCCAGTCGGACTCTGATGCCATCCACGTCGCCCTTCTTGAACTGCGACAAGAGCTCGAGAAACTCTGTGAAGTTCTGTCCCCTGATGGCGTTTTCTCGGATGACCATGCACCACGTGGGTCGCCCGGACAGTTTCCAGCACTTGGCCAGGAAAGCCAGGTCATTCTACGTGGCGGAAAAAAATCAGAAACAAAAAATAATAAACTGAATTATATTATGTTTTATATCTGTAGGACTAGAAAAAATAAGTCAGCTCTTGTTTTGTTTCCACAACAGTTGCCAGGGTCCATCTGTGGATCCTCAATAAAAATCAGAGATGCCACCGAGAGTCTGTGAAAATACCTGAACGTTTTCCAAGTCACATTAAGAACAAAACAATCCCTTCCCTCACCCACACAGAAAAAAAATTTGTAATCAGTAAACAAAGACAACTAATATATGTTTACACAGAAAACAACTCCCAAGAATAATCGCTGTTCTTGTAAAAATCTTTTAAAATAACAGGAAAAACCTGTAAAATGGCATCTGTGAGATCAATGTGGAGTCAAACTGCAACATAAATAGTGTAAGAGTACTGTGGGATGGATCACCTGTGCTTCTCCTCTCATTATTTCAATCAGAAAGGATTTTTTGGTGAAGAAAGAAACCAGTTACCAGCTTTCATACTACACAAAAAAAACCTCCACAAAAGTTTTCCCAGTACCTTACAGTCATCCATGACCAGCTTGATGTCTTGAGCCAAGTAGAAGTCACTCAGTTCAAACAGTAGAGGATAACACAAGACAGTTTTGCCACACGCACGGAAAATCTAAAACGTAGAAACAAAAACAGAAGGCATTGCAGTGTGAACAATTAATCATTGCGCTGAATACTATTGTTAACTTTTCCATGGTTTCTAAATCATCCCACTGATAACCTACAGAAAGCAAAGTCATGCAGTTCAAATAATTCTCAAATTCTCCACCTTGTCTTCCGTCACAAAAATGCTCAACAAAAAGTGTTTCTACTAATCTGTTAACCTCAAAATCAGGGTTACAGCACATGTTGGGTTTTTTTCACAACAAAACCCAAAAATAATGACATGAGCTAGCGAACTCGATTTCATTTCTCGTCAGATAAACATGTGCCAGTTTTAATTCTGAGTCACCCTAACGTTAAGTGGATGTATCTGTCAAATTACATGTAAAATTTTGTAAAATACAACACTTAATTTTAGTTAGACTTTCTCCGCAGAGACCTAAGCGATGACAGATTTCTTTCTTTACAAGGGCCCAGCAACTGAAGTGGTCTAGGAAAAGGACATTTGTCTAGCAGGAAAATAAGCCAAACTTTTAGAGGAAATCATTGGAACTGTGGACTGATAATAAACAACTGAGAACTCTCCAGAACTTAAAGAAGCACACACATTAACCCTTACACATATACATTAACCCTTGCACATATACCCATATGCACATATACACACGCACCCACATACTCACACACACACACAAAAACATACACATCCACCCCCACCCACCCACACACATAATCCACCCACTCACTCACACACACACACACACACACACACACCCACACACAGCCCCACACCCACACCTTGGAGGTACTGAGCACGCCAAAAGGGCGGCCCGGCCTGCCTGTAATCCCCAGTTTTTTGTTGATGCCCAGGTACTCGTAGGCTTTGGTCAGCTCCTTGGGCGACCAGATCTGGATGGGCTCGATCTGGTGTGGTGTCTGCGTCTCAATGCCATAGGTTCCCAGCAGCTGCTGCAAACGCGGCGTCTCCGAGATCAGCACAATCTGGATCACCAGATCAGGAGCCGAGCCCTGAGATGGCAGGAACAAAACAAAAAGCATTGGAAATTTTTGAAAGTTTTAGCAAGGGTTTTACGGCACTTGCAACACATTTTTAGGTCATATCACAGTGATGAAGATTAAAGGTTTCACTTCTTAACTTTTTTTAGAGTTTGTTTTGGGTTTGCTTTTGTTTTTTTTTGGATAACAAGATTGGAGGTGTTACAAGAGAGTTACATTCAAAGCAAAGAAGGAGGAGAGAATAAGGGCAATAGATGTTTGATAGGAAAGAAGGAGTAAACCACACTAAAGCACCCACCAACCAACCACGGCAATAAATACACAGAGATTTGAAGTTTGAGTACTTATTGGTACGTTGAAATACAAACAGTCACTTAGTACAAGGAAAGAGAAAGATAAAAAGACAGAAATTATAGAGAGAAAGTGAAGAAGAAGTAGGACCTACCAGTGGCACCTTCCAACCAAAGGTACACTGAGGGAATTTTCTCTTTCATTTAAGAGAAAATACTCATTTCAACAATGCTGCCAATACCATTTCATTACATTTATAACAACGTTCATCAAAATACTGAATATGATAACAATCCAGTATTTATACTATCAAGTTATCTTTTTCTACACAATAAGTTAGAACCTCTCAGTCTAATATTTCTACATTCAAATGAACATTCCAACGAAGTCTGAATACGAAAAAAACAACTTATATGACTTCCGTGTGTAATGAAATGAAAGTGCTTTCAATCAGGATTAACCATACAATCTATCGAGAAAGCACACTTTTAAGGAACTTGTTACTTATGAAACAATCAAAACTATAACGCTCTCCTCAGAACACTGCCATTGATATTAAACACAATATTTGCTCCTTTGTTTAAAACAGAAGCCAAGCCTTTAACCGGGAAGTACCAGTTTCACTCAGCTTCCACTGATTCTACAAAGACTGAAGGAAAAAATAGACCAACAAACCTGTCAAAGTGCTCTCCTGTCTAATTTAAATGCACACCTCACAACTGACTAGAATTCATTTCTTTTCATCAAATCAGCTTACATTTCTTTTTGTATCTGTAAATACCTGACAAAATCGTACAAGCTAAAACATGAAAAACATAAATTAAGAATTGTGAACGTTATGACAACACAGTCTTAGATTCAATTGTTAAGTCCAAAGACGTAATTTCTTCATGTTCGTTTAAAAACAAAACCACAACAAATGATAAAGCAATTCACAAAGTGCCATCTTAAAGCTTTGCCAGCATTAAAAAGCTTTTTGAAAAAGTTGGAAATAAAAAAATAAAAAAAATGAAGCTGGAGAAAGAGAAAAGGTGCAGATGAAACAGAAACAGTGTACAACGCAGCAGGAAATGGGTTTTTTTTTAAATGTCAGAACAGTACAGCAAACCGACACCTACCAAGTCAAGTTTGCTGACAGTTTACTCAGAACAAGCAAAAAATAACAAAAAGCACGAAACCCCACCCAAGTTAGAAACCTGCCTAAAGTAGAGATGAGGATTATAGTCTAGGTGAAGGAGAGGGGACATTCACTGAGTATAATAAATCTCCTCAGCATTAATTAATCACATTCCCAGCTATGGCATGCCAAGGCGAAAGTCATGGACTGGAAGGAAAATGTTAAATGACTCGCCAAGTTCATCAAACAAGATGAATTTGCAAAATTTCAAATGAACATTTGTTAACTTCAACATAACAAGAGAGAAAATCTGGTCTCAGATTTTTAAAAAATTAATAAATATAGCTGAATAGCTCCAATGTAACAAGAAAACATAAATTAACCTTTTTCAATATCCTTCTCGCAAAAAATTTCGGCTGCAAAAAGAAAAGCAATCAAAGACACCATCACAAAAGGGAACTACAGTCCTCATAAAAACATAAGGCTTTCTTCTGATCTAATAGCGTCATCATGATTTTTATATCACTGTAGACAAATTTCTTAAAGTCGAGCAGATATGTTCTGCTATAACTAAATAAGACTAGCAGTAGCTAAAGTTCAGTCTGCAAAAGGAGGAAATGGGCTGAGGCAAAAGAGTAAGCCATAGAGGGTTGAGGCCTCGTGTCATTACCTTACGGTCTTCATTCCTCTGGAAAACAAGAACTTGGGTTAGGCGAGAAAGAGAGAGAGAAGCTTGGGAAAGACTGTCTGTCCATTGTGAGACTCACCAAAAGACAAATCAGTGAACTCTTCCACCAGCAAGACTCGCCAAAAGACAAAATCTCTCTGTGAAGACTATCCATCGCCAGACTCACCATCATCAATCACTTAGATTCCAACTGATTACATTTTAACTTCTTTTCTCAGTAACGTTCACTTTCTCTCATCCCAAGGAATTATAAATTATAAATGTTCAACGTTACAAACAAAAGGGAGACAACCTTTTAGTAGGAGATCTCACACCTTTTTTTTTTTTTTTTTGAGAAAGTGTTTTACGGCACTTGCAACACAATAAGGATCTCACACTATGCCGGTCAACAATGTACTCATAAGTAGAAAGTTATCGATGGATTAGGGAAAGCTAGGTGGACCTGAGATTACATGACATGCTGTCATCGCCCACACATCAGATTTAAGTTGAACAGGTGAAAAACATTTTAGAGACTACTGAAACTAATTTATAGTAGGTTAGGACAGAGCTAGGAAGCTGACTGGGCAGACAACAATACTGAAGCAATTGGTCGCTTTTAAGCACAAGGGGGCTATCCCGAAAAATGCTGTTTTGAGAAAATCAAAGGTCAGGTTTTTTACCCTTGTTCAATTTCTTTAAAAGACAAGGAGAGTTTTCTTTATAACCAAACAAATATACACATCAATGACACCAAACTTCTCCTATAGGTAGGGCAATGCCCATTTTTGGTGCAGGTCAAGATTTCTGGAAACCTCCGAAATCTGGGTTAGCCCGCTTGTCCTTTAAAGCGACCAATTCAAGATTTAAAAGAATTAACGGGAGAGTCAAAACATGCACAGCCATATTGTTGACCTATCTGTGATGTGAAGGCACACATATGTGACACATGACACACACAGAGGAAGCACAAGGAACATCCCCGAGACACACGACACACCATACAAAGTTTACACCAGCACTTTGTCATCTTTTTTAGAGCCGGTGCCCACTTTTGCCACCTGAAAGCTTAACATTTTTGTGCCACCCACCTACTTCTAAAGCGTAGCATTCAATAATACCTATCACTTCCCGTGTGATCCCACCGCCCACCAAAAATGCCAAATTGTCCAAAAATGCCAAATTGTCCACCAGTGGGAGATACCTCCCACACTGGTACGCGCTGGTGTAAACTGTCGCGTAAATGTAAGCTTGACTAGAACCGGTGATGGAAGTTGCCAAGAAAGCAGACGAAGTTTAATTGAAGATAAAAAGGCCTACAGCAACAACTCATTCACTCATCAAAGAAAAAAAAAGTTCAGAAGAAAACGAAACAAGCACATCGATGTTAGCAAGGAGTTTCCAGCTTAGTTTTCCAAACAAAAGAGACAGGGGTTGGCACAAGCCACTGAAACATCTAAGACTAGCTCATTCATGACATAATGTTTTTCCCCCCACGGTTGAAACCATTAGGACGCAGTCAATTAATAAATTAAATAATATGGAGCAAAGTGGTCCACAAACCAAAAGATTTCATTTCAGAAAGCTTTCCCCTTACACTTTGAATGTTCACTTATGTTACAAAAGCAATAGCATGGGAATGTAGAAACAACAACACTGTTCAAATGGCCAATATATCGACGATGCGTCCAAATGTGTTCCCCGAAGTTACCAATATATCAGCGACACGTTCAAATTTGTTCCCCGAAGTTCCCGATATATAGGCGATACTTCCAAATGTGTTCCCCAAAGTTACCAATACATCGGCAACACGTCCAAAAAGAGCTAGAGAAGAAAAAATCACAAGCATCCACTACACATGCTAAAATCCCCACGGAAAAGTGAACCCTGACCCCCAAACAAAGATATCAACCTGAAACTTGGAGTAGCGGGCGCTGAAAGTGGGTCGCTCTGTGGCTGGCAGATGGCGTCTGATGCAGTCCAGGTCGTTGATACCCAGCAGCCCCTCCGCTGGGAAAACAGGAAGTGAACTTTGAGTCCATATCTTTTTTTTTTCAGTTTAATTCAAATCAATTTTACAGCTCTTGCCATGCACATAGGTCATATAATATAAGCGGTGAAGATGAGAGGAGTTTCTAGAGAGTAACATAGAGAGTAAAGAAGCAGGAGAGATTATGACGATAGACATTAGATAGAAAAGAAGGAACAAACCACACCAGAACACCAGCCAACCACCCACAGGGGGCCGTTAGAGCAGGTTCGACAGAGTATACGTACTATACTAAAAAGTATATCAAATCTGTAACATACATCCTCACATTATGATAACGCAAATAGAATAAACATAAACAAGTCGAGTACGAGCAAAACCAGAAATATCCACATACAGCTGCCACATAGTCTGTTTCCTCTGAGTAAACGACACGCCAGTTCAGCTGGCTCACGGCATCACTCGGTTCTTTACAGGCATAACAGAACACAAAGCTAACAAGCCTCAGCAAATTCTACTTATCTATAAAATCAAACTGTATGTTAACTGCTTGAATCATTCACTTCTAGTACTTCTACTCAGTCTGATGTTTATTTTATGAAAATATGTTAAATAGGAGCAGAGTTATCTGTAGGGAAGTTTGTGATCAAGACAACTTGAATAACAAATTTGACTACATTCAAAGGAGGAATAGTTTTTTGTGTATAACGAGAGCTGATGTAAATCCAGTCCTGTGTGGTTGTCTTATAGAAACCTACAAACGGAGGAGGAGCAGACGGAGGGAGAAAGGGAAGAAGAACAACAACAAAAACAACAATAACACCAACAACTACAACTACAACAATAAAGCATCAACAATAAAAAGAACTACAACAATGACATCAACAATAACAAGAACTACAACAATAACACTAATAATAACAACAACAAAAATATCAACAATAACAACTACAACAACAACACCAAAAAATCAACAACTACAACAATAACACCAGCACCAACAACACCAACAACAGACAATAAACTGTCAGAGCAGCAACCTCCCCCCCCCCCCCTCCCCTTCCCCCCACTCACTGAGCACACACACAAACACACACTCACTGAGCAAGCGGCTGACAAAGAGCAGCACATACACATACACACGCACACACACACACGCACCCCCCCCCCCCCAACTCACTGAGCACACACACACACAAACACCCCCCCACTCATTAAGAACACACACAAACACCCCCCCACTCACTGAGCACACACACACAAACACCCCCCCACTCACTGAGCACACACAAACACATACATCCCCCCCCTCCCCACTCACTGAGCACACACACATGCACCACACATATACACACACACTCACTGAGCAAGCGGCTGATAAAGAGCAAGCTCTGTCCCCACATGAAGACGCCGGCGGTGGTGCCCTCAGCAGACGCTTGCTTCTCCTGGCTGCCCGGCGACTGCTTCTCCTTCTCCACCTGGGACTTGGCCACGTAGTAGTACATGGGCAGCAGCTTACCTGGACAACACAAACCACCACTCGTTTTAGTTTTAATAGGTGTTTTACGGCACTTGCAACACAATAAGGTCATATTATAAGTGCTGAAGATTAGAGGTAAAACAAGAGAGTAACAAACACAAAATAGAAGTTTTTAAAAGTTTTAGTAGAGGTTTTACCGCGCTCCCAACTGCATAAGGTCATATGAGCGCCAGAAGATTAGAGGTGTTACAAGAGAGTAACAAACATAAAAAAGAAGAAGGGGAGATAAGGACGATAGATGTTTGATAAGAAAGAAGAAGCACACCACACCAGAGCACCCGCCAGCCACCCACAAACCATTACTCAGTCACTCAGTGGTAGTAAGAGTTTTACAACACTAGCAACACAATAACGTCATATTATAAGTGCCGAAGATTTAAGGTGTTACAAGAGAGTTCTTTTAGTAAGATTTTACGGCGCTCGCAACTGCATAAGGTCATATGAGCGCCAAGTGGTGGATGTCAACAAAAAAGTCCAAACGAGGAAACAGGCTTATTCTGCTCACCTCTCTAGCCTCAACAGCCTAAAGTCTGCTTCGACTATCATGGCACTCCAGAAATAGCAGTTCATAAAAGAGTGACAAAGATACAAAAGAAGTAGAGGAAAAAGACGAAAGTAAGGATGAGGAAAGAAAAAGCAGCAGTTCCCCCTATGTGGTTCCGGCACAGTATGAGCATGTCATTGATAAATCAGCCCATTTACAATTGCATAAGAACATGTAAATATGTAAATATGCCCCCTTTGGAAATGGCCTAAAGACACTATGGTCAGTGCTGCACTTGCAACACAATAAGATCATATTTTAAGTGCTGAAAGTTAAAGGTGTTACAAGAGAGTAACAAACACAAAATAGAAGGAGGGGAGATAAGGACGATAGATGTTCGATAGGAAAGAAGGTGAAAACCACACCAGAGCACCCGCCGGCCACCCACAAACCATCACTCGGTCACTCAGTTTTGCTGTGGTAAAAGTATTACAATACTTGCAATATAAACCACCACTCGGGTACTCAGTTTCGTTGTAGTAAGAGTTTTACCTCACTTGCCATACAAACTATGATTTAGCCACTCAGTTTCATTGCAGTAAGAGTTTTACGGCACTTGCAACACAAACTACGATTTGATCACTCAATTTAGTTGTAGTAAGAGTTTTACGGCACTTGCAAAACAAATAGGTCATATAAGTACTGAAATAAAGAGGTGTAAACTAGAGAGGAACATACACAGTAAAGAAGGTTTAGTTTCAATCTGAAAAAGTTTTGTGGGGCTCACAACTGCATAACCTCACATGAACACACGGGACACACTTTGGTTGTTTTCACTTTCGTTCACAGTAGATTCTTGGTTTAATTTTGCAAGTAAAAATAGTTGAAGTATTTTCTTTTTTAAGTGTAGAAATTTCGTTCTAAAACAAGCAGCTTGCATTTTTTTAAAAACCCTATTTACATTTGGGGAGTTAATATCAAAAGTCTTTCTGAAATAGACAATTCTATAGTGATCAAGAGAAAAGATAAAGATGATAGATGTTTGATAGGAAAAAAAGAGGAAAACCACAGTAGAGAACCCACCAACCACCGTAATTTTGCTCACCCTGGCTTTCGCAGAAAGATCAGCACTGTAACCAGGAATAGACTAAATCAGGTCCAAACTTGTTGACTTTACAGACATTTCTACACAATAGACTATTTCGCAGTTTAGTTTTTAGTTTTTAGTAGAGTTTTAGGGTACTTGCAACACAATAAGGTCATATAAGTGCCGAAGAATAGATTAAATGTTACAAGAGAGTAACATATACAAAAAAGGAGGAGAGATAAGGACGATAAATGTTTGATGTTGTGAATAGCATCTAAAACTGGTGGTTCTGTGATTTTCCTTCCATCCCGGGGTAGGAGATAAAGCAGTGGCTGTAGGTGCAATGCCACAAACAAAAACCCAACTCCATCACAGAGAGATTGTAAGAAAAATGAATGGGTATGTTGGTGTCTGTTGTATTATATTGAGAAGTTGTTTGAGGAGATAAAGAAGAGAAAGACGCTATTAAGAGCATAGTTGCTGTGTGTTGCTGAAATACAAAAATTATAATATAATAATAATAATAATACGAATAGTAATAATAATACCAATTGGAAGCTAGATTTCCCCCCCTCCTACCCGAGCAACCAAGTCCTCTCATCCGAGAGATGGGGGCAGGGGAAGGCATGGCAGATCCCAGAGGGTAAATGTTGTCAACAAGCAAGACGCAAATGGTCTCTGCACCTTCTCCGCAGTCATAGGGCTCTCCGATAAGTGCATGCTTAATACATGTATGTAGCTGGGTATTCTCTACGTAAAGTCACATCCAGTACAGTGCTGACAATGAACCTCTGCTTTCCACCCCACCAATACCCGTCCAAACTCCAGGTCAAAGAAAGGTTGTCGATGGAGAGAGGAGAAAAGAGAAGTTAATAAATGTAATAAAATAAAACAATAAAGACAATAAATAGAAAGAGTAAGAAACATAGTAAAGTAATATTATGTCTCTTTTCGGGGTCACCCCTTGACCCGTTAGCTTCCTCTTTTTCTTTTCCTATTCGAAAAGTACTAATCCCCCCCACCACGAAGAGGTGGGTCTATTTGGGGGGATAAATGTTTGATAAGAAAGAAGGAGCAAACCACACCAGAGCACCCGCCAACCACCCACTATTTTGCATTTTGTCCTCAGAGAAAAACTTTCCTTATTCCGTTCACGGAAAACTAAAACTGAAAGTCAAGAGACAAAAAATTAACATCTATCTACCTACTCAGAAACTTACCATCTGTTGAGTCATAGAGAACTTTGTCAATTTTTTCACTGTAGTACTTCTGATCTTCTTTGTCATTGCGGAAAATACCTGTAAAGAAAAAAAGCAAAAGAAATCTCAAAAGTTCCTCGGACACCTCATTACATCCACATCCATGTTTTTCATTCTGCCCGTTGAGTGCTTCCCAGCATTATGAGAGAACTGTGATCTTTGGGTCAAAGACTCGCTGCCAGTTGACAGACAGCACGTAATATGTCATCGCCTCAGAACTATTTTGTCCAAAGTGTACTTAACGAGAGGAGCAACCCTTAAGGACCATTTTCTTTGTTTGTTGCCCGTGATCAAATCTAAGTACACTTATAAGTTCGGCATAGTAAAATCTCTTGATACGCAATTTTATTTTGGCATAGCTACAGCGGTTGCTACGGAAATGACCGCCATCTTGAAAATAAACAATGTATTCCGAATCCCTAAGGCTTTCTTATTTACTGACCAAATTTGGTCCAAATTTGAATAAATTTGGAGAGAGTATACCTGAACCAGACCATGTCAGCGGAACAGCGAGTTTTTTTCAATAACTGCATTTTCCCAAAGTATAAAAAACTTTTTTTTAAATTGAGGTTGCGTCATCGCTTGCCTTAGAAAAGTGTTATTTTTTTTCCCAAATATTTCTGTTACATTGATGGCAGCCTTGTCATCTATGTTTCCTGAAAGTTTCATTTCAAAAGGATGAAAACTAAGGAAGGAGTAGGGAAAAAACTGAAAAAAATGACATTTCGCGAAAAACGACAATTATTGTGAAAATTCACAATATTAACCCACCCTCATGTTTTCAAAGGCAATTTACAAGCAGAATAAAGACTTTCTCAATTGTTTCCATGCTATTTTTAGACAAAGAACAGGTTGATCTTCAAAAATTAGCCGACATCTCAATGTGCATAGCCTGACCCAAAATCAGCAAAACAAGGGTCGCTCCTCCCCTTAAGTAAAGAGTGCACTTAGGAGAAACTAGTTCTGAGGCGACCATGTATCATCATGGTGAAACCAGGAACTCATCAAAATAATTTAATCAAAGAAACCAACATTTTTCCATCCGTTAGGCTATTTTCATGGGATTTTTAACATTTTTGGATCAACACCTTTCATGTCCATTTAAACACACATTTTGTCTGGAATTTAAGGAAAAGTATTTATCAAAAGCACCTAAAAAAATGTAAATTTTTTTGCATTTTCCTGGAACATTCAAGCTTGGGAAACTACCAAACTTTGGCAAAAATGTTCTCACTTAGTTTACCTCTGACACCAGGCTCCCCCCGTCCCCCTCCCCCCTCAATCCCCAATATCTCGACTATCATTCGAGACTGGAGGGTATTATTCTTATAGAAAGCAAAGCAAATGGACTGTCTTTATGATGATACCAACAATAACTTGATACACTCAAAAACTGACAAACGCCTGATTCCATCGCATCGTGACACAAATAATACAAATGTGTTCACTGTTCACGTTTCAAGCTAATGAGAATATTTCACAAGGAGGCAACTACATGAAATAAAATAGGAACCCCACAAAAGTAAGCACTGGATTTTTCTGAGAAAGAATTGGCATGTGATTCGTTGCCAGTAGAGCAAATTTCTTTTGTCTCAATAAACATTCTATTAAAACGTTTAACTTTTGTAAACTGTTGAAACAATCGCGTACAGAATTCTCTAATTACTGTTTCGACCCTGATATCATGAATGGGTACTTACACAGAGCTTAATACTACAAACTTCACCACAAACAGAAACAGACGAATTACTTTCAAGAAATGGAGAGTGAAAACATCAGCCAGTGCACTCACTATCAGCAGATACACAGAGTACACTCGCTGTCTATGAACAGATACACAAAGTACACTCACAGTCTATGAACAGATACATACAAAGCACATTCACAGTCTATGAACAGATACACACAAAGTACACTCACAGTCTATGAACAGATACACACAAAGTACACTCACTGTCTATGAACAGATACACACAAAGTACACTCACTGTCTATGAACAGATACACACAAAGTACACTCACTGTCTATGAACAGATACACACAAAGTACACTCACTGTCTATGAACAGATACACACACAATACACTCACTGTCTATGAACAGATACACACACAATACACTCACTGTCTATGAACAGATACACACAAAGTACACTCACTGTCTATGAACAAATACACACACAATACACTCACTGTCAATGAACAGATAAACACAGTACACTCACTGTCTATGAACAGATACACAAAGTACACTCACTGTCTATTAGCAGATACACAAAGAACATCGGCCACTCAGATTCAATCCCATCAAAATTCTGAAACAGAAAAGTCATCAGTTCGTAATGATCAACCGAAATGTGTGGTACAAGACAGGAGATTAAGTATGAGTATAGAAAGGCACGTCAAAACGAAAAGTCATTTAGTGCGAGGAAAAAGTAAGACTGACATTCAGAAACAACAGAGGGAAAGAAAAGAAGAAGGACTTATTATTAGCGGCATTTCCAACCCTCTAACCATCTGCAGAAAGGAGACTGGTCTTCTGATGAGCTGTAGAGAAGTGATTAAGGAACAGGTAGGGAGAACCAGATTATTATTAGCTATAAAACGAGTCAGCACGAGGTAAAAACCAGGTTTAGAAACATACATGTAGCGATGGTTGATTTACAGCAGTAGGGTTAACCAAAGACAAAGTTACAGAGAAAACAAAGGTACACTTATACCATAGGGTAATTAGTTTAGTAAAAGTTTTACAACACTTGCAACACAAATTTAACTCCTTATCTCCAGCAAGCTGCTCTCAGCGGCTCGCGGTCAGAAACCCAGTGCCGGTGAGCCGCTGACAGCGGCTCAGGTGCATTCTTTTAAGACGATTTCGAACTCAAATTCCTTTTCTGCTGAAAACAAGTCTCTTTCACCAGAATTTAATTCATTACATGAAGAACTATTGAAATAGGTTCACTTGTTTTGATTGAATGACCAAATCAGTGATGTAAAAGTCAATTTTAGATTTTGAACCAAAGTAGGGCCCCAGCATAGTGAGTTTACTCCCCCCCCCCCCCCCCCTCCCCCTTCAGAGATAAAGAGGTAATAAGCCTTATAAGTGCTGAAGATGAGAGGTGTTACTATTACTGCAGAGTAACATATAAAGAAACAATCTGGATAACAGCCAAAATGAAAAAGAACATACAAGAACAGCCTCACATCTCCCAAAAACCAAACGCAAACCTTGAGACAATCACAAACCACTGTTCACCTCTCTGCCAGCAGAACATCACTTTTGTTTTAGTAAGAGTTTTATGGCACTTGCAACACATTAAGGTCCTTTAAGTACCGAGGCATAGATGTGTTACAAGAGAGTAATGTACACAAAAAAGAGGGAGGAGAGATAAGGACGATATATGCTTGATAGGAAAGAAAGAGCAAACCACACCAGAGGACCAGCCAACCACCCACGATAACATCACTATAAAACACTGACCTTATTGGTTTTCTTAAACACACAGAAAATTCAAAGAGAGGAAACATCATACAAAACAATGAAGAACGAGAGTCTGATCCTTTTTTTGTTCTTTTTCTTAATCAAAGTAAAGGTGAAGAACGTGAGTTATCATCTTTTCTTTATTTAAACCCATTGGGGAGCACCTTGGGTACAGAGGATGAGGCAGGCTACTTGCAACACAATAAGTTCACATATATAAGAGCCAAAACTTACGCATTTCAAGAGAGAACAAAGCACAAAAAATGATGAGAGATAAGGACGGTAGATGTGTTAGTTTGTTCTAGTTTAGTTAGAGTTTAATGGCCCTCGCAACTGCATTAGGTCAAATGAGTGCACCATATGTTTGACAGGAAAGAAAAAGCAAACCATACCAGAGTACCCGTCAACCACCCACAGGCCCAGGAAAAAATGGACACGGGGGGTGGGTGTCAGAGAAACACTCGTCAAAAACAATATAACCATACAACAGGCGACACAGCAAACAAGAGAAAGATGTTTGTTTCTCTCCTAAACACCGCAAGCTAACAGAGGTCAGAAAAGGTAAAAAAGTAAAAAGTACGAAAGAGGATCACCTTAATCTCTGCAGGTTTGTAATACTTCCTCGTCTTGTCCTCGGCCACGGTCTTGTAGCCATCACGGAGAAAGCGCTTGATCCCCCAGTTCCCTTTGAGCTTGCGCGTCACTTTCTCCACCGTCCGCTTTCTGATGGGCTCCTCGTGGATGGCAAACGCAGGCCAGCCCACCGTGGGCAGCAGAGACGCGTCTGTGTTCTGGAAAACATCAACATCAAGTCCAGTCAAAACTGTCACAAACAGCCAGTCCACCATGGAGGAGAGAAATGGTTGTCTTAGACAGGTGGACATCTTAGGCAGTATCATTTACAACATTTCTAAAATGCAAAGGGGGGAATGGGGAGTGGCCGTTTGTACAAGTGATTGTCATACACAGGTGTCCGTTAGAACATGTTCCACTGCATAACCCCCCTATTCTTTCTGTTCTCAGTGGGAAATATTTTTAAAAATCAAGATAATATGGTAAAAAAAGAAACATATACAATTCCAAACCAGTACATTTTTTGTATGTTTTAAGTGAGTCAGCTTGATGACTTACCATTTTCAACAGAAATAGGTAAACATGACAGTTTGTCCTCATCATCATCTATTTCAAACAAATTTACTTTTCCTGATTTTTTTTTCTTGAAGCATAACAATTGTTAACACATTGGCACATTTTCAACTTACTTAATTACAAAAGTCTGGCACCAAATCAGGAACAAAGGGACAAAAAAGACAAAGATGGTTGTTAACTGAACACCAGCAGAAAGAATGGATGACATTAAAACCCATATAACTACTACAATCTGCGTCCCCCAAAAAGTCACAGGTGCATTCTCTTAACTCACTCAAGTCTGGCGTATTCTCACAAACACATGTGCTCGAGTCTGAATATTTCATGAGGTTTTTATTAAAGTTCACAAATATTCAACTATGAACACCATATACAGCATGTTTTCAACTACAGAAACATCAGAAATGGCACACTTCCATGTAACAAAAAAGGCAAGGAAAGCTGATGTAGCTTTTTTTGTGTGTAAGATGACCTTTCAAAAATGGGGAAGATTTTAACATACGCAGAGTTTATCGTGCCATTTTCCGCAACTGCCATGGTGAACAATAAGTGCTTTTATGTTAATGCATTGATCCCACATGACTGGACATCGGTGCACAGCCCCGCTTCCCACAACAGGTGCAGGTGAAAGACTTTAGAGAGTTACAGCTGCCAGAACACAACATAGAACATACTTTGGAATTGGATTCCCGAGGTAAGATCGTCTCGAAGATGGTTCTGTTCCTGTTGTGAGCGTCGATGTCCACAAAGATGACAGACCAGGCGGCACCATGTTCTCCGAACAGGTTACACCCGTTGACCGCCTCCAGGGCAGCTTTGGCCATCCCGATAGAACTTGAAGAGCAAACAGGGCAGGAGGTTAACATTTTTGGTTTAATTAAACAAAAGAGTTTTACAGCACATGCAACACAAATAGGTCATATAAGTGCCAAAGATTAGAGGTGTTACTAGAAAGTAACATACGAAGAAAAGAAGAAGAGTCAAGGACAATATAGATGTTTGATAGGAATGGAGGAGTGAACCACACCAGAATGACCATTTGCTAGATTTTGAGCATGCAAAAGCTTCTTTTTCAATAATAATAAGTTGGAAGCATTGTAAAACTCTTATCGAACAAACAAAACAAACAAAGTAGTGGTAAAAGGCAGAAGTAGCCCCCCCGGCCATCAGAAGGTGACAAAATCCTCTCCTCAACACGTCCAGGGCTTCAGACAACATTCCAACCCCTCACACTGCAGCGACGTAAGAACAACGTGATGAACATAAACAAAGTTTTCAGAACCTCTGAAGTAATTCTATGATGGCAACAGAGTTCCACCATCCTTTAGCTTAGCTGGTACATTGCTGGACCACTATGTGGATGACCCTCGTTGAAATCTCCAACAAGGCATATTTAAATTGGTATCTCTTTTCAGAGATTTCAAAGCTCTCCGCCAATTTTGCTTGGACTTCTCGGAGACAGTGGTTGGATTTGGAGGTCGCGCCTCTAGAATAAACTTGCAGTGTTGAAAGGGGAGTCAGATCCATAGAATACTACTGCTATATCTTTCTCTCCATTCCGATATTGCGGCGTCATAAGCGGTCAGCGATGCCGACAGAATGCAGGTACACAATACTCATTCGGAGGTCCTTTAAAGTGATGAACATGGGCCACTGAAGAGTCCCAGAAGATGTGTATACTACAACTATGACATTCCCTTCACAATGAATTTTTTAAAAGGAAACATAATGAAACTAACTGTTCACTGCATACCCCCTCCCTCCAGCAATAATTTAGTGAAGAGCTGAACTACCTACCTTGCGTGGATTTCTGTGCTTCCATTGTTGTATTTACTTCCTCTCTCCCACATGCCATAGTCTGGAGTTCGATATGCCCTCTCCACATAGAACACCAAGTTTTGAACAAAATTCACTTCGTCCGTAGAATAAATCACCTAAAAAATATAAGTACAAAAACCCATCAGAATATTAATTTAAAACCAAAGAGAAAAGGCTACTAATTATAACAGACAAAGTAGACATCCAAAGTCATGAAGCTAACCGGAAACATCCCTTCGAACAAAAGCGGCTACAAAGTGCCCGAAACAAGGAAAAATACGATATAAGAGACCAAACAGGCGAGACTGAGGTCTGTGGAGTAGCATTTAGGTGCCTTATTGTCGCTGGACAATCACAAAAGACAGTGAAAATAAAATAGAAGCAACAGAAACGTGGTTTCTTAGGAGACTGCTAAGAGTATCGTGGAAGGAAAACAAATCAAATGAGGTAGTGCTTGATGAAGCCCACGTGGGACGCTCAATGTTAAAAACAATCAGGAAACGACAAATGCAGTTATTGGGACATCTGAATAGACATAAGGGTCTTGAACATCTAGCTCTCACTGGCAAAATTGAGGGCAAGCGAGGCAGGGGTAGGCCCAAAACAACATACTTAGGGAACCTAAACAAATGGGTAACAGGGAAAGATCAGGGAAACATTGCTTTTTTTTAGAGCATCCGAGCAAAGGAATGAATGGAAAACCATGATCGCCGATGTCTGGCGCAGATTTGGCAATGGATGATGATGATGATTGTCGCACATTGTAGACCCCGAGTTCGATTCTTGAGAAGGAAGAAATTTTTATTGATGAGTGCATCAGTCTTTCTGTTGAAGTGTATCTCTCTCTTCCCATGTCTGCCCTGACAGGCAGGGTCAGAGGTCAGCCTTCTAAATTATCCAAAACCTGCCAATGGAGGTGTAAATTGACCTACGTTACTTTTTTAAAATGTTCACCCCTTCAAATACAAACTGTAACAAAGTGTTAGAAATGTGCAAATACTACAAGAGCCCAAACATGCTACAGCAGATAAACACACAGATAGCGTCAAGGCAAAGTGGCAAAAGCTTCAGTGGAGTCGCTCGACTTCCCCACCCACCAAATTACATTTTCTCCACACTCCAGAGACATATGGATGAAAACATAGAGAACGCCGATTTCGGAGACTGACTCAGTAAGCGCCGATAGGTATAAAAATTCCCTTATGATTTTCAACTTGTCCCACATAGAGCTGGCAGACTGCATGCGGCTTTAAGCTCAGATCGGCGTTGTCGGCTTTATTAGAATCCAAACTTCATTCTTATTATGCCGAAAAAGTGGGATGGGCTTCTCGCTGTCAACTCGCGACTTCAGTGCTTTCTTGTCCTATCTCCATTTTTCTACAGTGTAAATGTGACTTCTTCTTAAGCTCACGGTTTGTTGTGAAATGCTTTCACCGTTATTGAAAATGGAGATGCGACAATAAAGCACTGAGGTCGCGAGCTCATGCCGTCTCGCCGTCGCCTACTCGGGTTGAGCGGTTTGTGTGACATCACCCGACTGGACTGGGAACAGTTTTAAATGGTGATTTCAGAGCTGGTGCTTCACGGTAGACAAAAACTAATTACATTTTTTAAATCAGCATCATCAAATTAGGGTGGCAACAGAACAGAATTACATTTTAAGCAATATTTTAGGAATTTCTAGGTTTTTTTATCCCCAAATAAATGCTTCATAAATACCAGTTGTGTTGTGGTATAATATTTTTCTTATATCTAGATCTAGGCTTTAGGCGCCCTCTAGGTGGAGTCAAGCAGACACCTACTGGCGCCTGTCCGCGTCGATCTTCAGCCGTTTAAGTTTTGACGTTCTCTATGCTATCGCCCTAAAAGTGTCATGACACGGTGGAATTAGGCACTCGTCAATTTTTGGATGTGTGAAGGTATTGGTATCATCTTAAACCTTGTTCATTTGTCTCTTTTTTTAAATGAAAAATACCCATTCATCTTGAATGGATGTCGAGAATTTGCGAATGAAGGAGGTAGTTGTCGCCTGATTCCAGAGGTAAAATTCACGAGAAAATGGCCACCAACGTTTGGTCATTTCCAAAGTTTGAGAGTACTTTTTTTTGCCTTTAATCTATGTTTTCAGTAAAATCCACTCAGTAATGAGTTTTTAAATGTTGAACCAAAAACAAAAATTGGATCAAACTTGCCAAAAAGGTGGAAAAATGCTCATTTCTTCAATTTCATTATTTTGACGAGAGCTTGATTTCACCATGATGCCTCACATATGTACTATGTGGTGGAGAATCTTTGGGAAAAGAATATTTGGAAAAAGTCCAACTGTGCCCTAAGGCAACCTATCAAAAAACAAATTTGAAGGCAACATCTTTTTGTCTTTTATGTGTCTGGGTTTTTTCTAACTGCCTTTTTCACAATAGAAAGAACTACAGTCGAAACTGTCTAAGATGGCCACCCATTGTGGAGGAGAAAAGCAGTTGTTTTAGAAGGGTGTAAGTCTTGGAAAGTGTCATTTTAATATAGAAAAACGCAAGTGGGAGGTGGAAAGTGGTAGCTAGGGCAGGTGATTGTCTTGAACAGGTGGTCATTAGAGCAGATGATTGTCTTGGACAGATGGTCATTAGAGCAGATGATTGTCTTAAACAGGTGGTCATTAGAGCAGATGATTGTCTTGAACAGGTGGTTGTCAGAGAGCAGGTACGAGTGTACACAGACAAGCGTAATCACCTGCAGGTTGGAGGAGATCATCTGGCTCATGAAGAGAAGGAACAAGGCCACAGTGTCAATCTGAGGACCAAACAGAGGACAATGTTACAGAAAACTCTCAGGAATGTTTTTTTTGGTTTTAGTAAGTGTTTTACAGCACGTGCAACACAATAAGGTCGTATAAGTGCCGAAGATTAGAGGTGTTACAAGAGAGTAACAAACACAAAAAAGAAGGAGAGATAAGTTTAGTTTTAGTAAGAGTTTTTACGGCACTTGCAACACAGTAAGGTCAAATAAGTGCTGAAGAATAGATTACGTGTTACATGAGAGTAACATACACAAAAAAGAAGAAGGGGAGATAAGAACGACAGATGTTTGATAGGAAAGAAGGAGCAAACCACACCAGCGCACCACCAACCACCCACAGAGAGATAAGGACGATAGATGTTTGAAAGGAAAGAAGAAGCAAACCACACCAGAGCACCCACCAACCACTCACTCTCAGGAATGGGAACAGTTCACTTGCCGGGAACAGGAGAATACAGGGACGGGAGCCAACGTTTTTGTTTAGTTTTAGTAAAGTTTTACGGCGCTCGCAACTGCATAAGGTCATATGAGCACCACGGGATGGATGTCAACAGAGAAGTCTAAACGAGGAATCAGGCTTACTCTGCTCACCTCTCTAGCCTCAACAGCACAAATTCTGCTTCGACTATCAAGGCACCCCAGAAAAAGCAGTTCACAAGAGAGTGACAAACATACAAAAGAAGTAGAGGAAAATTACGATAGTATGGATGAGGAAAGAAAAAGCAGCAGTTCCCCCTTTGTTGTTCCAGCACAGTATGAGCATGACATTAATAAATCAGCCCATTTATAATTCTACTGTGTATAAGAACATGTTAATATCCCCCCTTTGGGAATGGCCTAAGGACAATTTCAGTCAGTTTTAGTTTTAGTAGAGGTTTTATGGCGCTCGAAACTGCATAAGGTCATATGAGAGCCAGAAGATTAGAGGTGTTACAAGACAGTAACAAACATAAAAAAGATGGGGAGATAAGGATGATAGATGTTTGATAGGAAAGAAGAAGCAAACCACACAACAGAGCACCTGCCAACCACCCACACTTCAGTCAGTAGCACTGCCCTGGCGGGGGACAAACAGAGAACAACGTTACAGAAAACTGTCAGGGATGGAAAGAGTTCACTTGTTGGGAACAGGAGAATACAGGGACAGGAGCCAAAGTTTACAATCATACAAGTAGCTTAAGAGGAAGAGAGCGAGAATCCCCGTCCATTCATAAAATTCGTTAGTGTCTTTAACGAAAGAAAAACAATAACAAAGGTGTGTGCATGAGATTGTCCGTGATACCCGACACTGAACTCCACCTTACACCTTTTCACTATCCCTGACATTTCTACTCTCCAAAACGTGCACACAAAACATTAGTTCATCCTGTGCACACAAAACGTTCTTGATTTATTCCATGAACACAAAAGTTTGTAATTTTTCCTGTGCACACAAAACCTGTGCACATAACATTTGTGATTTATCCTGAGCACACAAAATGGTGGTGATTTATCCCCTGCACAAAAAAGTGTGTAATGTTTCCTGTGCACACAAAACCTGTGCACAAAACGTTCTTGATTTATCCTGTGCACACAAAACCTGTGCACAAAACGTTCTTGATTTATCCTGTGCACACAAAACGTTTGTGACTGAGCCAGCGTGCTCACCTGTAGGTGCTCGTACTCGTCATCGCGGTAGGTCGGGTCGCCCGTCAGCATGTCAAAAGTTGAATGCAGCGCGTACAGAGGGCTCTGGTTAGACTTGAACTTCTCGACCTGAAGTTGGGAGAGAAAAAAGGTTTCATTATTTCACTTTTTCTTCCATTTCTTAAATTCTTCTGTTCTTCTACAACCTCCCCCTATTTTCGAGATGGCCATTCATTGTTGAGGATGGATGCAAGGTGATAATTTCTATAGCCACCATTCTCTAAGACCTCAGTTGTTTTTTTCTTTTGGATGGGGGGAGGCGGGGTTCAACCCTCCTTTCAAGTAATATCTTGTCTTCCCTAAATTAGTCAACTGCATTTTGTTTTTCAATCTAAAATCTCCATATCTCTCTGATTCATTTTCACACAATAATAATGGATGATGGGTGACAAGAACAAATCAGGATAACGTAGCTTTTTGAGAGCATTCGAGCAAAGTAATGAATGGAGAACCATGATTGCCATTTTTGTCCGTCACACATCTTTCACTTGATGATGATGATCATCATCATGATTAGAAGGAGAGATTACAACAACTACTCATTACTTCTATACCACGATATCTCCCCTCACAACAACTAGCCATTACTTCTAGACAACGAGATCCCCCCCTAACCCAAACTGCCATTCACCCAGCCGCCATCATACCAGCTTGAGGCCTCGCACAGACAACAAGACAGCTGGCTCCTCTCCCAAAAGTGAAGAGAATGGTGGAAAATTGTCCAAGCTGAAATCACATATCTACACAAAATTTCACCGGCCGACTACCCAGATCCGTCCTGTCAAGCCTGTAGGGAAGAGGACGAGACTATGGATCATGTGTTCCTGAAATGTCCCGCCAACTATCATGGAAACTGGGACATTTCAGTGGCCCACATTCAGCACTTTTTTAGGACCCCCAAACGAGTGTTGACTTTCTGCATGTTGTTGGCATCGCTGACCGCTAAAGACGCTACAGTGCTAGAAGACAGAGAGAGAGAGAACCACAATAACAACCCATAACCTCTAGACCATGAGATCCCCCCTCCCCACAACAACTAGCCATCACATCTAGACCACGACATCTTCCCTCACCGCAACAACTACCCAAATGAGGAGGACGAAACAATGGATCACGTATTCCTCAAATGTTCCGCCAACGATCATGCCGAAACACTTCTGCTGGGACATTTCGGCGACCCACGATCAACACTGTTCAAGGACCCCCCCCCCCCCATCCCCAGCGACTATTGAGCTCCTGCATGCTGTCACTGACAACTAATGATGTCACAGACAGAGAGAGAGAGAGAGAGAGAGAGAGAGAGAGAGAGAGAGAGAGAGAGAGAGAGAGAGAGAGAGAGAGAGAGAGAGAGAGAGAGAGAGAGAGAGAGAGGAGAGAGAGAGAGAGGAGAGAGAGAGAGAGAAAGAGAGAGAGAGAGAGAGAGAGAGAGAGAGAGAGAGAGAGAGAGAGAGAGAGTTGGTCAAATGTCCCATAAACTATCAGGCAAAAACGATCAACACTGTTCAAGGACCCCCCCCCCCAGCGAGTATGGAGTTCCTGCATGCTGTCGGCATCGCTGACCACTTATGATCTCACAGTGCCAGAAAGAATAGAGAGAGATAGAACCACTACCCATCCCTTCTTGGCCACAAGATCTCCCTCATCACAACAATTACCCATCACTTCTAGACCACAATACCCCCCTTCACCAAAACAACTACCCATCACCTCTAGACCAGAAGATCACCCCCCCTTCACCACAACAACTAGCCATTACCTTGTCAGCCTGTCTGATCCAGCAGTGTAGCACACCTCTCATGCTTTTCACTGCCGCTTGCCCCAGCTCATGAGCTCGTCCCTGGTCATCGTCAATCTTCCTGGCAACACATAAGCATCATCGCAGTCACTAAAGTGTAACACAGACATCAGCGCAGTCACCAAAGAGTTACAACAGTTTTCATCTCCCTATTTTTTAAAATAATGCAATTTCTGCACCAGCATAACAACTTGACTATTTCCATCTCCACCATATCAATTAATCTGTACTGAATCAATTAGTCAACAGCAAAATACACTCAAGAAAACATTCCATCATTTTTTCAAAAGAAGAATAAATATGAAAATATCTCTCATCTGAAAACAGAGAAAGTAGAACGCCATTGTAATCCACAGTTCCAAACTGGGACAATAGTGAAAGGGTTTTTTTTCTTTGTCCTTCTTTCAAAATAACCCTCGCTGAGGGCTCACACATAATTTGCTCACAAACCACAGAACAAAACAACTTTAACAGTGACAGTAGCATTTTCCTAACATTTAAACTTTCAACAACCTTGACATCAGTTTATTGCTTATCAATCAGATGTCTTTATGAGCACTATTAAAATGAAGACAACAAACTATGTGTTTAGGCAGTTTAGGTGTACTTTTCACTTGTAAATACCAAAACACAAAACAGATCAAAAAGTTATCAGATCTACAACAGCAAGGTCTATACATTCGCATCAAAAGCAACTTACTTGTAAGCTTGAGAAAGAGACCACACAGCAACCGCACAATAGATTGTGTCTCTGACGTGAGCGATTCTGTTGGTGTTTAGCTCAGACCCTATTGACGGAAACAGGGCAAAGGTTGGGCTCTGGTATTGAAGTATCTGCCTTTTCACTGAAATATAGGCAAACCGAGAGCAGCATTAATATTCATGAAAGAGACAAACATATCAGTAGTTCTACAAATATTTCCCAAGACAGGATGAAATAAACAGACAGAAAAGGTAAAATTAATATCAAACATAAAAAAGTCAAATTTAAAAAGTACTGAAACTCCATTACTTTTTTTTTTTCATTTCTAAAACCACAAGTTGAAATTTTTCTGAAAAAAAGACAGAGGTAGACGAGCAATCATGAAAAAACCCAAAAAGCAAACAAGTAAACAGTACTCACACTTCATATAAAACACATCTAGCTTCACGCTCAGGGCAGGCGGCTCCTTGTCTTTTGACACCACCCGTGAGAACCTCGAGTCATACATTTTCTGTTTTGGGGGTGGCACCGCCATAGCGTCTTTCATCATCTACTGTGTCTTTGGCAATTTACAAATCCATTGATATTTCCTCTTTGAACACAATGGCTGGCAATATCCCTGCAACAAAAGACAGAAGTTTCTGATGAAAGTAACTTTTGAATAAAGCCAATGATCCTACTGGCCACATTTAATACAAAAGTTCTGACTCCAACAGCAGTATAATTTCCTCTTATTTATAAACAAGAGACAAAGATAGAATAAAGGAAAATCCCCTCTAAACTTTAACACTTTGCCATCATATTTTGGGGAAAATCCAAAGAAACAGGGTGGTTGAGGCGGCAAAGTGTTAAGAGAACATGTCTCGTTATATAACAGAGAGATAGTGTTGTGGCTTTCTGGTCAGAGAAAAAGGATGAACTCATTCTTTTTCTGACATTGCAATGCACAGCAAGCGTAAGTGGCCTTCTCATGATACAAGTAACAACATTTTGTAACAGAGGACCATATCAACTATCTCTACTAGTTAAGACTCACTACAACTAAGTATAAACATGAAATAAACACAATTTATACTAACCAAGACGTTTGTTTTAACAGGAAAGAATACTGCCTCCCCCCCAAACAAACTCAAGCAGACCCAGTAAACTGTTGTGGTACTGTTCCCAGGTACTTAGAGGTCACTGAAAACACAGGCTGGCTACTTGGCGGAGAGTTCTCTGCTGGCCGTACGATCAGGGTGGCAGGCATTTGTCATCAAACTAATTTCACGCTTCAGGCCTCCGGCTACTTAGGAAAGTTTCAGTGCTGGAGCAGCACTCAAACACTTTCACAGGCACTGGTGAGATTTAACACCCACATCACCTTGACTATTTGCACCACTCAGGGCTCACATGGATGGGGTAACATCTTATCTTCCCCTCAGTCGCACCCCTACTTGCCTTCCTCACCTGGGGGCATGGCATAAAGGTTAAAAGAGTTGATGGAACCAAACTTGATAGTTTTGTTTCAAATCTAGACCTTGTGTCTAAACCATTTTCCATCATAAACAGGAAAAAAACTTTCGAAGGGAAGGAATTTCTCTTTCCATTTCCACATTAGGCCGGTTTCCGTTTTACAGAGTAATAAATTATAATACAGAGAAGGTATCAAAGGGGGAGCACGGGGAGATTCCGCTTTAGTTTTAGTAGAGTTTTTACGGCCCTCGCAATTGCATAAAGGCCATATGAGCGCCAAGGGGTGGATGTCAACAGAGAAGTCCGTACAGGGAATCAGACTTACTCTGCTCACCTCTCTAGCTTCAACAGCACAAAATCTGCTTCGACTATCAAGGCACCACGGAAATAGCAGGTCACAAGAGTGTGACAAACATACAAAAGAAGTAGAGGAAAAATAACAATAGTAAGGATTAGGAAAGAAAAAGTAGCAGTTCCCCTTTGCAGTTCAGGCACAGTTATGAGCATGACATTGAAGAATCAGCCCATTTACAATTCTACTGAGCATAAGAACATGTTAATGTCCCCCCTTTGGGAATGGCCTAAAGACACTTCAACAGTCAGTAGTACCGCCCCGGGGGGTTGGGGGAGATTCCATTTTGATATACTTCCATCAAGGTAGGTTTTTGTTTTAGTAGAGGTTTTACGGCGCTGGCAACTGCATAAGGTCATATATGAGCGCCAGTAGATTAGTAGAGGTGTTACAAGAGAGTAACAAACATAAAAAAGAAGGTAGGGATATAAAGACGATACAGTAGTCTACGCCTAAACGCACGGTGCTCGAGGGGGCTCCTTAGCGTGTGTTTATACGGAGCGTGCATTTACATGAACCTTTGCAAGGGGAGGAAGGGACGCAGTCATCTCAATTCGTTATTACTCTAGTGACCTCCCTTGGAGGGAGGGGGTCATTTTGGCAGATAATGAGACGACACCTGACTGTTTTGTGAAGGATTCCCCGACAGGGGTTCAGAATACAAAGGCGTCGAATTGGGGGGGGGGGGGGGGGGAGACAAACTCAATGTAATGAATATGCACTGTAAACGTCAGGAACAGATAGCCTAAGAGGAAACTATT